CTCAGCAGTGTACTTGTCAGTCTGCCTGTTCTGCTCCCCACTCTGTCTCTGGTGAAGCCTCTCACCGCCCCTGCACCTCTGGCCTATTCCCCAGTTCTGTATGCACAAATAAATAAATCTTAAAAATAAATAAATAAAAATAATGATCACTGCAGCTATGCCCTTGGCTGGGTGTTGTGAATGAAACCTGCAGGAATTCCCAGCCCTGAAGCCCACTGGGCCCCAGTGGGAGGCTGGTTCTTGGTTCCCCTCTTGGTGGCCTCCACCAGCTCTGACCAGCTCTGACCTTTCCTTCTAATCTGCCCCTGCTTTCAAATTCCTCGCTCCCCGGTTTCTCTTCCCTCCCTTATAGCCCCTTCTCTATTCCTCTGGCTGTTTCCTCCTCTCCACTTGGTGTCTGAGTTTGGAGGTGGTGGGAGGAGGTGTCTCTGTACTCACTTCCTCAGTGATCTCATCCAGTCTGTGGCTTTAAATACTATCCACTTGCCATCAGCCCCCAAGTTTGTATCTCCAGGCCCAGACAAGGCCCTGAATTCTAGACCCCTCCATGGTCTTCCCACTTGACGTCTACGCAGGGAGCGTTACCAGGCATTTCCAACTCAGCGCTTCCATTCTGTCAAAGGTTACTCAGCTTTTCGGTTGTGTTTCAGTTTGGGCCAGAAACTTCGGTCATCCTGTATCCTTCTCTCGCACACTCCCACCCCACTCCACCCGCAATTGCATCTACTTCTAATTCTCTCCAGAATCTCCCCAGTGCCCACACTTTGGCCACCTGTCACTGCCCACCCGGAGTATGAGGACAGTCTCCCTGGTCTCTGCAGTCCTCTCCTGAGCTGGTCCCAGGGCAGTCACTGGGACCCACCACCGCTGGTGCGTCCTCCTTCAGCCCCTCCCCAACAGAGGAAGCTAGCGGATGGTCTTGCCGCTCACAAGGTGACATCCGTTATTGCTGCCTTTCTGCCTGCCTCCCCATTCTCCTCGGGACTACTCGGCCCCACCCTGCCATGGTCTCTCCAGGCAAAATCTCTTCTGGTGAAATCCTGCTGCTGCTTTTGCTCCCAGGTGAAGCCAGGGTTGTGGGGGCGGTGGGCAGGGTATTCGTGAAAGGGGTGGTTTGGGTCACGTCTGAAGGGGTGGGCGCCGAGGGTGGGTCCTCCCAGTGCCCCTTCCCTTCCAGCGACCCCTTTGACTTTAGAGCCTGGGCCTTTGGGAAAAGCAGCTGCCTGTGAAGTCTGCTCCCCACTGCTGCCTCTGCTCTAGGTCTGCTGTTTCTCTGCCCCTCCCTCTTCTCTTGCTCCCCACCCCCACCCCCTGTCTGGCCCTCCTCTCTCATTTGATTCCCCCAGAGTGCAGCTTTCTTCTCTGGACTCCACCTTCCCCTACACCTGACTTTCCGAGCCACCTGTCCCGCTAATGCAACTCCCCTTTTTCCACAGCGGTAGCAGCTCAAGTGGCTCCAGGTGAGAAGTCATACTCCTTTCTGTCCTGGCCACTTCAGGATGACTTCTGTCCCTGACGTGTGTCCTGACGTGTGGGGGTCCTGGAACAGCCCCAGAGGCTCTCCAGATCACCATCTCACCCTGGCCCCCAAATCACAGCCCCTAAAGGACCTGCAGCCCTCCCCATCACACCCCCCCCCATCTCCCACCTCCCCACCCCTGCCCCAAACTGAAGCCAGCGACCCCCACCTCTCTTTGGGAGGGCCCACTACGCCCAAAGCACTGTCCCCAGTGCCTGGCACCTCCCTCAGCCACACCCCGCTTGCCCCCCACAGGTTCCTGTTCCGGATGTGGGCCCCTGTCGCTGCCTCTCCTGGCAGCCCTTGTAGCAGCAGATGCTGTGGTGTCGCTACTGATTGTGGCTGTGGTGTTTGTGTGTGCTCGCCCACGGGGAAGGCCCCCCCAAGGTGAGGACAGGCCAGGAGGGTCCCTAGGGAGGGGGCTCCCTTGGGTGGGGACCCCGGGGAAGCCCTAGAGGAGGTTCTGGGGAAACCCTGGGGAAGGTGCTTAGGGGAACTCCTGAGGAATCCCCTGAGACAGGGGGTCCCCAGGAAGGGGGTGAGGTGGGGTGAGTGGTGGGTGGTCAGGCCTCATGACTTCTCTCCCCCGCCTCCAGAAGAAAGCAAAGTGTACATCAACATGCCCAGCAGGGGCTGACCCTCCGCAGCTGGAGCTGTGACCTTTGACTTCTGACCTTCTCATGGGATTGTGGGTGGTGGTACAGGAAACCCACCCGCCCCTTGTGCTGGAATAAAGCAGTTGAAATATCTCTGGTTCTAATTTCTCCCTAAAGCCTCTCTCCCATTTAGCTGTTTCTGGGTTCATGAGACACCCTCTGCCTGCCCCACCCCCAACCTTATATATTTCCATTTCCTTAGCCCAGGGGTATGGAATAACTCAACAGTAGTTTTGTGTTCCATGTTTATTTGGGGACAGTAGTGGGGAGAGGTATGATATCTTAAGGAACACTGTGGATCCGCATCTTGGTGGGTCTTAAAACAGGGCGCCGGGTGGACACCAGGAATGTCTGTATCCAGGTATCAGGCCATTGACTGCTGTGGTTCAGGCTCATTTGTAATACTGCCTCTGCGTGTTGAGGTCGCTGTAGACATCTGACCTCTGACCTTGCAGCTCCTGAACAAGCAGACAGGAATCACATCGTCAGGGTGGGGACCAGCAGTGGAAGGGTTTCACCAAAAAATACTTAAAAGTAAAATCCAGGGCCTCCTTGGTGGCCTACAGGTTAAGTCTCTGCACCATCACCTCTATGACCTGAGTTCAATGCCAGGCTGGGGAGTGACCCACATGGCGCAGAGACCTCTCCTGTCACTCCACTGCTCCTGTCAGCAGAGTTTTTCAGTGAATCCTCCTGTTCTGCTCCCCAATCTGTCTCTGATGAATCCTCTCACCTCCTGCACCTCTGGCCTACACTTCAGTTCTTTTTTTTTTTTTTTTTT